ACTGTTGGCTTGTGGTGGTGGGATTGCCCAACAATGGTGGGAAGTCGCTTGTTGGTTTTATGGTTTCGCCGCGGTTCCCTCGGCAAGCCAACTGGCATGGTGTGGTATGACATGATATGGTATGGTATGACATGGTATGGTATGGTATGATATGATATGGTATGGTATGATATGGTATGGTATGATATGGTATGATATGGTATGGTATGGTATCATATGGTATCATATGATATGGTATCATATGGTATGGTATCATATGGTATGGTATCATATGGTATGGTAAGTCGACTCACCACCAGAGCGTAGAAGACGCTTTCTTGGGCAGCCGGCAACTCTTGGAAGATCTTGTCCCGGACCAGCTCAAACGTCAAAAACTGAAGAAAAAAAAAACAAGAAGAGAAAAGAGACGATTACACAATACTGTATCGGGGGTGGAGGGTGGGGAGAATGCCACGAAAACAAACGACAAAAACGTACTCCGAAGTATTAGCGAATGAAAGAGAGCAGCAAAGGTGGGGCGGGGATCCAAATTTAGCATCAATAGCACCAGCACCAGCACCAGCACCAGCAACAACAACAACGACAGCAAGCAACAACCGGCGCCTCACCTTGGCGATGCCGAAAGGCAGCTCTCGGAAAAGCAACGTCCCCAGGCCGGACCAGAAGTAGAGCAACCCTTCCTGGTCGACCATCTCCTGAGCCTTACCGATGAAGGAAAGGAACTCAGGTCTGCGGTCGCACGTCATGACTCGGATGCGGACAGCCTCCACGGGACAGGTGATGATGGCTGACACCACCTGGGCTAGCGCGCTCGCGAGAAGGATTACCCACACCTGGCCACATCATGCCATTGTTGTTGTTGTTGTTGTTGTTGCTGTTGTTGTTGTTGTCTTCACATTAAAAACCGTTCCTGTCTCCGCTCAGTACCTTCTAATGTCCGTACTGGTCCAACTGACGCAAACGCCTCCCGTACCACGTGTCACGTAATGTCATGCCATGTGTCTCATCAGTTGACGTACATACGTCATGGAGCATGAAACATATTCAAACAAGAAATTGCTGTGAATGCGGTTGTTGCCTTTGTGTTTCCGTTCTATTTGATATGGCGGCAGTCCCCCCATTTTTCGTGGTGACACGTGTACTACACTTTTCAGTGTGTCCAGATTACGGTACACTTTTCAGTGTATTTGTGGGTGCATTTTCTATTTTCCTGTGCAAAGCATGGACCGCCAAAAACTCAACCGAAAAATGCCATCTCCGTTGCCTACATCACCTTTAGGTGTGAAGATGTAAAAGCAGTATCTCTGTGCACCAACTTCCCATCTGGAACACCATCGTATTACATCTATTTGCCACTTATTATCCAGGCAGTATATGCTACAATACACGAATGTACTAGCAGTATTTCATTGCTCACCGAGCTTCCAGTTCCACTGCCTGCTGGCATCATCTCCATCATGCGATTCAGCTCTCGCCTAAACAGCTCCGTGCCTCCAAATCCGATGAAACCAAGCATGAAGCCTAAGATCTTAAAAAAAAAAAAACGTCGACAAACGCAAGCACGATGCCACGATGGACATGAGCGCTGTATGCATACGATAGCAGTACGTGCTACCCGCCAATTGGTTTCAGAACGATGCTGGGTGGTGAAAAATCGAGCTCCAAAAATGCAAAGTTCAGAAAAACTCGGCCAACATGACCGATGCTCAGTCAAGAGTCAAGAGGCAAGAGTCAAGAGGTCCACTATTACACGAAAATGAAGGTACGTATGAAAAAATGATGTGAAATGTCCAACAAAAAGCGAGATGACCGCCCACCCACCGTAGACACGTCGATGCCCCGGGTTAGCTCGCCCACTCCACCCTTCTTCAGGATGCCCTTGACGGTGCCGATCCAACCCTCACCGCCGCCCCCCTCCATACCGCTCTCGTCGCCGCCGACCTCCCGTCCCATCTCGGCCTGCACCGTAGTCTTAACGCAGTCCACGGGGTGCAGGAAGAAGCGGACCAGGGCGTTACAGGCGGCTCCCGCCAAGGACAGCTTGAGGTAGTCCTGTAGGGGGGGGGGGGGGGGGGGGNGGGGGGGGGGGGGGGGGGGGGGGGGGGGGGGGGGGGGGGGGGGGGGCAGACGAGAGGGTGAGAGCGTGCACGCGGAATAATGATGTATGTTTCGATATGGTGTATGCGTACAATGGAAGGGAACGTTGTTGTTGTGTGGTGCGGTGAGTGAGATGGATCGTCCTGTAGAGGGAGCAGACGAGAGATCGCAAGCAGAATGACATGCGCGTATGCAATCTCTCGTCTTGGTCGACATGGTATGTGGGGTACGGAAAGGGTGTGGAATGCGAGACGCGCTCGTTGCTTTGGAAGTGAGACAGAAGACAGCCCTGTGTAGAGAGCAGACGACAGACGTACGAGTACACGCGTGATCAAAGGCGGGGAGAATATCGTTTCGACATGGTGTGTACGTAAGGAACGGGATGCTTTCGTTAAGTGGTGAGGGAAAGATTGGCAAGTTTGGAATGGGCCAAGTGTTGGTGGGGGAGGGGAGGGGGGGGGGGGGGGGGGG